ATAATCGCCTACACCACCAGTTTCGCATAACATAGGCAGGGATTTCTGGTACTATTATTCAACTTCTATCAGACCAAATATCTAGTATATCATTATTTCAGGCCTCTTTGGCGAGAGTATTTTTGTGTAAAATACTTGAGCATTTTGGGGGGAAGCTGTTAAAGCCTTTTAACGAAAGTGCCTCACTCGAGGAAAGTTCGTACCTCGCTCCATGTGGTGAGCCAAATTTGTTTATATACCCTTTGTTGAAGTATATTTGGCTAGTACCACCTAACGAACTGCTCAACTACGAGAGACTGTGTTGTGGATATGATTTAGAGAATTAACTTGCCTCAAGAGATATGGAAAAGCGATGTCGCCATTTGTCCAAAGGAGAGGCCAAGTCGGCCTTCATTCTTGACTTCGAGGTTCCACATGTTCAGCACCGAGAAGGAGGCATCGTCAGATTCCGCCAAATGAAAAGGATTGATGATGACGATCTGTACGACAGGTCTGGTACACTCCGACCGTCAGGTGAAAGCTACTCGAGTGGGAATGTTTCATCTGCTGGAAATTAGCATCTTATATGCGATACTACAGTCCTGTGCTTTTCGTCTAGTAAATGTATGAATCTAAGACTTTCGAGGCCTCGGATACTTTTAATTCCAAAATTACGGTACCACAAATACAATTGTGAAATACAGCTTTCTAATATGTGGCCTATTGTTGCACTTTAATCTAAGTCAAGCCGAGACTATCTGTTCAACTTTATCTTCTTCAAGATGAGAAATGTCTCTCAAACACTCATGTAAGGTGTAAAATTTCAAAACGAGTTGATTTTATTATGATGAGATACTTCATTAATAAAGTACAGATCCTTGAACTTGTCCACCTGCTTCAACTCCATCATTCTTCCCCATAAACGGGTTCTGCATGTTTTAAATCTGGTTGTTGATCCGATGAATGTTGGCTACTAAACCAGCTGCATTCGCCCGCCCAAAATACGATTTTCAGCCCCCTTGTGTGGAGAGATTCATAGCATGTCTTCCTAAATGCCAAATGATTGGGGCATTACGAAGAGTCTCATGAGACAGCATTGTTGGGGAGACTTTCATTTCGTATGCACTTCCATACGAAGTAAAAGTTTCCCCAATGAATGAGGGTTTTTTTCCCACTTTACCTTCGTTTGAAGAAGCGAGAAGGAAAATATTCGTAGGTTGGTCTCACCGAATGCCGAAGGAGGATCACCTTGGGTCTGTGACTGTACACTTGTGCAAATAAGTCTTCAGAGTATCATCCCACGACATAAATTAGTTTTTGATAAGATTTTGGTGTGTCATGTGTGAAAGGTATCATCAGAGCAGGAAATTATGCTTTACGATAATTTACCAAGCACGAAGACAAGCAATGTTTAGTCCTAGTGTGTGATTTGATCCTTGCCATCGTGATTGGTGAATTATCGTAAAATATGGAGTCCTGCTAGAATGTTGTCCATCACGTGACAAGCAAAAGTTCATCGCGGATGTATCGGAGTTGCGGGAGGGTGTGCCTATAAATTGCTTGCATAAATCTTCCATTACCATTCCTGCTTAGGCTTCTAGTGCTGCCAAATTACACATCCCTTCCACTCGCCTCTTCAGATCAAATGAAACCGGCTCTTAGAAACCCAACTTTTATATAAATCTAACTTGCTTCATATTTAATTGTATGAGAAAATGGCAGAATTATACCTTTACGTGATCAAGTTTTGATTGTATGGATCTCTGCCTCGGAGCCTGCCTATAGCGCCATCTAAAAGGTGCTTGATCCATCTCCAAGTGTACCCGATATGATACTAATCGCGCTAATAAATCAATAAATAATAAGAGGGCAGTAAAATGAACTATTTCAGCTTAGTTTAAGCAGCCGTTTTTTTAACAAACAAGCCAACATGTTTTAGCATCTGCAGCAAAAGTTTACTTCAATGTTTAGATAATTTTAATGTGAAAAAAATCAGAATTTTAAACAACATTTATTCAACGTTAATTGAGCTAAAGTTGGTATTTTCTCATTTGAATCCACACTGCTTATATTGAACAGGAGAGTGCAATGCATGATTCGATTCCCCTACGATTCTAAAAGCATGTTTTGTTCGGATTCGATGGCCAGACTCGATCAAATGTTCCGATATAGAACTCTTGGATAATTATGTTTTCCCGTTTAACGACAAATATTTGTCGAAATTTCTTCAACCTGACAAGCATGATTCCTTTTTGAAATTTTGTTTAATGCATTATTTCAAGTACTGCTTACAGCGCCCTCTTTCATCACATCTGATAACTTAGTGGAGGATATACTTCTGCCTGAACTATTTTAGATAAATGTTCATTAGGTTTATGCTTAATTGCCCTAGCGGAAGACTGATTTAGGCTGAGGGATTAACAATTCCAAGTGGGTGTATATAAAGAAAAGATCGGTCTGAAAGAATGCCTTGGTGCTTTAATGTGTCCCTACTTTTCAGTTCAAAGGAAAAGTTGCTTGGAAAGAATTCATAAATTGGCCTTACTTAAAACCGAAGAAGTGAAGATTGTTCGATTGTACGACTTCTCCGTTTGCGACTTTGATGAATCAATGCCAAGATCTCGTCGCGTATGAAAGTGCACGACGAAGAGATTCGTTGGTAAGTCTCACTGGAAGACGGCAGCCAATTTTCGTTGTTATGCAGTCGTTCAGACTTCCTCCCTCGTTTCGGTTGTAACCGGGCAAAGCTTTCATCCATCATGGAACGAACATCATCAGAGCTGGTACTCATTTTTGCAAAAGTTTCAACTTGGGCGAGTTTAAGCACCTCTACCTTCTCTGCAGGCAGTACGGATAGAATGAAGGTATGTAAATTTTGGAGTGGCCAAAGGCTCTCTCACCTTCTGCCAAAGCAGTCTCTATTCCTAGATTGTACAGGCTTATCAAGTGCCTCCTTCAGGTGGCTCCGGACAGTCCTTTCGGGGCTCTAAAGATTTAGGAAAGAGTCCATTTAAATATTGATACAAGAAAAAGTGAGCTGTCTCAAATATACTTCCTCCAAATGTTTTAGTTTTAGGCACAAACACAGACATAGAATAGAGCAAACTACTTAAAACGTACTCATTCACTTTTTCATGCACATGATGATGTTTTTCGAAAAATCCCTTATTAATTTTTTTTCAGAGAGCCTTTCTTTATGCAAGCTATGTTGGTTAGAGGGGACCCTTGGCTTGGCCTTGGAAGGTTTGAAAAGCAAAATTCAAGATTATATGCGAAGAAAAGTAGGGTTTCGAGCAATCTCTTGTTTCATAGTTGTTGAGCCTACTTCCATTCCGAGTGAAAGTGTGGGGTGAAGAGATCAGAAGGGCGATCTCCTCAGTCCTCTTGAGCAGTTGTCAATTAGCTTTACTGGAACATTCCTGCTGACGTTGTTTCCGAGGCAATCCCCTCCGATTCTAGCGGATCAAAGGTGGGATCGACCTTTGAATCTCTTCACCAAGTAATTTCACTCGAAATGGAAGTAAGTTCAACCAAATATAACAGGATCGCAAACCTGGCTCATTGTATTGTTGAAAATAAACTGTCCTAGCAACACCTCAGTCGATCTAGGCTGAGTTATGGTCTTATTCAAGTGCTACCAAAAGCTGTGCCTACATTCGAATATGATAGAATGTTGACGTTTGC